AATTGGGAAACACAGCCTTGTCGACACAGGCATGCTCAGTGCAGTGCGAAGAAGACCGGGGCCCAAAAACCCAAAGCCCAGGCCCTACTGTACTTGTAATAGTGACCATTACAGTAGTGAACCGGTCTAAAGGAACCGTTAGAGGAATCCTAAACCCTATATACTTTGACTGGAAAGGTCTTGAGATGCCGGAGCCGGCCGCAGGAATGAAGCCTGCAACCCGTCATATGAGTATCTGCGCACGGTTTAGGGTTAGGGTTGGGGTTGATAACGCCAATCCTTTAAATTTAAAGCATGAAGTTTCGGGCTAGGCCCCAAACCCACACTACAGGCCTCGCCTGGTTTTGCCGAGTGTGAGAAAAAACCCACATCCTAAACACTAAACCGTGCAAGCACAGGAGCCCATCATACGGCACCATTCATTCGGTCTCGGCTGTAAAGGTTTAGGTTCCTGAATTTTACTTTACCTTACCTTGTGGGTACAGGTCCTAGCCAGGCAGAAGGCAAAGCAGCAACAGCATCCGACTGCAGACGAAATGCGACCCTGAATCCCGTAAGCTTTAAATCCTGGTCCCCGACCTCTAACCCGCAGACGTAGCAGGCGCTCAAAGGACGGTAAGCCCGGAATGCATGAGCCCTTGTCGGCTTACCCATTCCCGTATCTTACGCGAAGACTCCGAATCTGCAAAGCTCTTCAGTCCATGAACTTCGAACAAGGGCTTGTCCTCCGCTTAAGGCTTCAGGGGGGTCTTATCTGAACATTTAAGGCATGAAGCCATACACGCAGACCTAAATCTTAAACTCCCCAGCTCAAAGCCTTGAAACGCGCAAAACAACGAAAAGTAACTAAACCCTGAACCCTCCCGGCTGCGTGCATTCCGACGTAGTGGAGATAAATTGGACTATATGGAGCCTTGCCTGTGAGCTTCGAACCCCAGAAGTTCTTACAGCCTTAATTCCCGCGTCTGCAGATCCCGGCACGTGCCGAGGCAGAGGTGGAGGCAAAGCTAAACGAAGTGGTGCAGCAGGGCATCACGGAGAAGGCCGCCTCCTACGAGGCCCGCCCCTCTGAAGGTCAGAAGGGCTTCTTTTATCAAGTTTGATGATGATGATGATGTTGGTGATGGTGATGATTGTGTTGATCATTGCAACAAGAAGACGTATTACAGTTTGCAGCAGTTCTTGATTACTATGTTTGTTTTTGGTCGTTCTTACTTTTCGCTATCGGTGTGAACATTTGGCATTGTCGGTTAGGTTTGTATCCTTATCATGCTCTGCGGCACCGATGTCACTACTGCTGCCATGGCTGCCATTCTTATTTTAGATGTTCCTTCGTTTCCAATTTAGGGCTGAAGGTGCAGTTGCGCCGGGCAATGGGCATCTGTAAGGTCCCGGATCGTGCTAGACTGGCTGCTATATGTTCTCAAAAGCCGCAGTAGGTGTCCCGATCTGCATTCATTGGAGCCTTATCAACAAGCTGGTTAGAGCATACTTAGAATGCAGCTGCAGCCCGAGTGAAGCTCTCAGCTTCAAGGGGGAAGGGGTTTACTTGCAGCAACAACAAAAACAACTCGTTGGGAGTATCGATGGCGGACGTTGCCTTGAAGTATTCTTAGCCCTGGAGCCTTGAAAATTGGATTTTACCGGTTTACGCTTTGTGGGTTTTCGGATACCGCCAGCAAGCCCATGTCTTTGGCAAAGGAGTTCCGCCCCGGATTCGCGGTCGAAGCCGCGCGAATCGCCACGGTTGTGATCCTTGGCTTTAGCGGTTCGGATGTGGGATGTTAAAGTGCATCGATTACGTCGATTAGCGATTCGAGACTTACATCGGATGGCCAGGGTCTTCCCTACGAAGTTGTAGACTGTGGATGTTGCAACATGCCCTTGCTCTTGCTCACAGTAGTGCATCTCTCTCACATGTGAGAGCAAGTAGCACGCTTCTGACGACCCGGGTGTGCTGCTGCGCCTGACAGACCTCCGAATGCGCGAGAGAGCGAGTGAGAGAGTGCCGCGCATGAGCTTGGAGAGCAGATGCAAAAGGGGGGTGCCAGGATAGAAAAGGATGCAATGTGGGGTTTCGAGTCCGGGGTTGCAGAAATGGGATGATAGTAGACAGCCGGTGTACATTAAGGACCATCGATGACGAGTGGAAGGCTCTGCTGCAGAAGATGGACGCATTGAAGCAGACAGTCGGCCGCTTGCCGCAAAGTGCATGAACACATGTCTGCAGCGCCTACATCCCTGGACTGAGAACTAACCTGCGAAACGCCCTTCTAGCATACTTGTGATAGCAAGCGACGAGACTCCACATCCTTAATCCAATTCCCCTGCGAGCCTGTGCGAGATTTGAGAGCGAGCCACCGCGACGCCCAACATGCATTATCAGCTGAGAGAGAAGCACTCAAACTGGGAAGCATTTAAACTTTGCGTGAAGCGTACTACAGGGCCGGAATAGTAATAGTCTTGGATTGTCTCGTATCTACTAGTAAATATTGCCAACCCAATCCTATTCTGACTTTAAGCGGTAGTGGCATCAAGCCGTGCCCGACGACTCGGCCTTGTACTGCAAAGCTAACTTTCACGGTGTTTCGGAGCGTCAATTTCTGCAATTTTTCCGGTAGGTTTGGTCTTGGGGCTCAGGTTCAAAGCTTAGGGTTCGAGGAGAGTTCGAGGCTTTTTCTGTGCTTATCCAGGAATCCGCGGATCACCAGAACCCATCATACCAACACGAAGCATGGGTCATCGATTCAAAATCGGGGCGCTCCACTCGCCCTGGAAAGGCCTTGCGGCGTACAAGGGTTCCGAGCCCCTGAAGGAGCCTGTGGTGCATCACAAGCTTTCTGTCACGATACTTGACGCCTGCTTTCGAAACCCTTCGGATTCTTATGATGCTAGTGCTCTTGACTTGATGCACAGCTTCCATCACCTGTGCCTTCATCAGCACTTGTCAAGAACGTCAATGCAGGAGTATCAGGTCCAGGGCTTCAGGATGTACCAGAAGGCACGGGGCTCTGGGAGCAAACTGGTAGGGCTTTGGGTTTCGGATTCTTTTCTGGGCTTTGAGCTGTTGATGAGCACTGGTGACTGCAACTCGTGGTGGCGACGACTATGGTTGAGGGGTCGCTTGGAGTGTTCGTCTTCTTTGGTTGAAACCCCGGTGAGACCGCGAAGCCGCATCAGTGTGAAAATTGTTGTCCGTGAGTTGTAGTGTGTTGTTGTTCGGATGTCGGCTTACTGCGGAGTGGTAATTGTAATCATAAAAGTACGAACAAGCCGATCAATCATAGTAACCGTAACAATTACCATAAGCAGAGAAAGCTCAATTCCATAGCCGTCATAGGTCTCTCCCAGACTAATGGTGATTCTTTGGCACATGACTGGGTTGCAGAATTATTGCTTTCCATTGGTTTCCAGGTGGAAAACAAGTACAAGGCCCGCTCGGCGCCTGGGCTGCAGTACTTGGATTGCCCGTTGAACTCTACGGTTATTGTTACAGGAACATGAATAGTGATGGGAATCGGGTTTTGAGTATATCATGCTTTATGCTGTACGTACAGCAAGGACCTAAGGAACTTTCATGAACCGTCCTAATCATTTTTATTCTAGTTGTAGTTGTCATGATAATCGTAACAGTAGTAGCATGAACTTGTGCAGTTCGCTCCAGTGGCTCAGCATCCAATGACACTGTTGTTTTCGCCGCTGCGGCTGCTGCCGCTGGTGGTGTTGCTTTTGCTTCTGCCATTGTGGCTGTCGTTGTTGTTGTTGCTGCTGCTGCTGTTGCCGCTCTTCTTTCTCTTACTGCTGTTTGGCTTGTCATCGACCATGCATCATCCTTATCCTGCTCCGAATCGTCGTCTCGTTGTCGCTCTTGCTTCGGGTAGTCGTTCGTACAGATGCTGGACAAAAGGGGCTAAAACCACAGAGTGGCTACATTCAAAAGAAGGACCTGTTTAATAGGTGGGGCAACTACTAATCATTCAGCCGTTGCCGCAGGTGAGCCGATGGCTGAGATCAAAGCCGAAGAAGGACGCCAAGCAGGAGTCGTGAGACGTGGCTTGGACGGATAAACATAATTCCAAAAGCTCATCGAACCCCTCAACTGCTGAATCCCAATGTTCCAAATTCGTCGGATCTCCTTAGGGCCTTGCTTCCGTAGAGTTTGGTAGCCAATAGCCGAATCTCAACTGAGGTGTTAGTGTGTGGCGTTTTCCGGTCTGCATGACAGCTTGCTTTTTCTTAGTGCGATTTTCGGCCTGGCAAACGCCAGGCCTTTTTCATAAAGCTGTGGAAGCACAGCCGGCGTAACGAAGCCATCGATTCTCCCAGTGCGATGTCCTTTAAAATGACCTGAGATTTCACTGGCGAAGATTCTTAGCCAAAGGCTGCCCGAGACGTTTGCGCTCTTCAGCGGTTTGAAGCTACGAGGAAGCACGCGCTCACGTTGATGGCCCGAGTACCTCAACAAAAAACAAGAAACAGCAAACTCCGAGCCCTCATTTCAAGGCACATGGAACACTGTTTCCCGAGATGTTGTATCTTCTTTGATTGCCGAGATTCCGAGATCTTGTCCGGAGGACCTTCTCACCCGGAGGTTGCCTCCGTCTGGATCTGGAAGAGAGACATCCAGCGACGCCTGCCTGGGGGTTTTCAAAAAGTTGTGCGTGCAAGGGGGAGCTGCCTGCTCTTTTGCTTTTCTGTTTCGTTGAGTGCAGCACCAGACCCTGGGAAACCTGCCGGCAGAATTGCTCGTAGCTTTGTCAGACTCCTGCGCCGCGTGCCTGAACTCCTAGCCCCAAGTTGCACCACTCCTGTCATGCCAAACCCCCACATCCCTGACGCCTACCCTTCCTTTCTCCAGCTTCTCAAGAGTAGAGGAAGCACCGCTTTTTGCGGTGCTCCTATGATGATTCATTTGAGGGGCTTCTCCCTAAACCCTAAGCATTAACCGTGTCTAGCTGGGCGGGTGGGGGAAAAAAACCGTGTCTAATCCTTGCTTCCAGGTCACGAGGGCGCCAGGAGAGGTCCTTTCGTTGCGTCCTGAGCACAGGAAGGTCAGCGGAGGGGGCCCAGAGCTTCTATTGCACGTTGATAAAGGGCCAGTTCAGTTTCTCGTCGGAAGTTTAACTTGGTTCAGAGTATAGTATATTCTTCATCACGGACTTTGCATCAAACTAACACCCCAATGCGGTGTCGACTGTTGGTGATACACTTCCTTAGGATCCTCACGAAATAGACGTGGTAAAAAACCTTGGTCGAACCAAGGCCCTTGTTGCAGCACCCCAAGCCAAGACATATGCATCTTCTCCTGGAGCATGCCAGCTGTGCGAGTTGAAACCGGAGAGCGGTAAACCTCAAGGACCAGGAAGCGCTGGTTCTCCTGACTGGTGGAGGGGTTCCAGATTTAGGGGCTGAGGTTCAGCGAGTCAGTGTAGGGAGTCTTGCGGAGAGCGAGAAAGAAAGCAGGAAAGAGGGTGGACGGGTGCTGGTGTTTCGAGCAAGTCGAAGCTCGCCTGTTTCCGGTTTAGGGCTTGGGCAGCACCCAAACCAAAACGTAAGCCCTGCGGCGACCATGAGAGCAGTAGAAAGAATCGGTGGAATGCCCAGAATCTGGTAGCTGATTGCTGTGAAAGAGATCAACAAAAAACTTTAGCCAAGCTGTTGCTGTGCAGAGTTTGGGATTTGGGGCTGAAGGTTAAGGGTTCACGACAGCACCATGCTGGTATTTTTCGTGTTCATGATTGCCAGTATCATGGTAAGTGTTTCAGTTGTAATGTTGCTTTCGCTATGTGCACTAGCGTCACTAGTATTTGCCATGGATACTACTATGACCAGATTTGCTATCTACTGTTGTAGTTCTTATTGTTATTGCTAGTACGACTGGTACTACGATTCCTTGCTATACTATTTCGTTTTTACTCTAAGTTTTGCTATTATCGATATTTGTCTTATGACCTACTGTTATCAAGTTTATTCTTACTATTACTGCTGGTCTTGCTCCGTTTCTCTCTCGGCTCAGAGAACGAGTGTGCAAACCAACCCCCCCGCTTCTTCGCCCAACTTCGTCTCGGGCACCATGGCCGACCGAAAAGCCGTGCCTCGGGTGAAGGAGCTTGTTTCGTTAAGGGTTCAGAGGAGCAAGAGCAGGAGCAAGAGCAGGAGCAAGCGCAGTAGCAGGAGCAAGAGCAGGAGTAAGAGCATGAGCGGGCAGGAGCAACAGCAAACGCAGGAGGAAGATATGAGAAGGAGCAAGAGCACGAGCAACAGCAAGAGACGCAGCAGGAGCATGAGCAAATGCCAGCGTGCACATGTGCAAGAGCCAGATCCCCCAATAGTAACAGTAGAGATAGAAACCCACCTCAATGATAAGGACGCTGTTCGTTGTTTTTTGGCGTTTTCCCGGTTTAATGTCAGGAGAAGGGATCATCGTTATCGGGCCTAGGGATCAGGCAGGAGTTCTGAGGTTTCGGAATTAGGAGAATAGGATTCCCAAAAGACTTTGTTCCAACTCATTATTCAACTCATTATATTACGGCAACGATGATGGTCCAAGTCTAATCCCTGAACCTTGTTTCGCTCTGTGCCCTGTGCCTTCTGCGCGGATGGCTCGACTCGCCAAGCAGTGAGACTTGAAAACCTACGGGCCGCCTACGGGTACGAAGTGAGCAGGTTGGTCAGCAAGACAACTATACTCATAAGTATTTAGAGCCTCTAGTATTGATACTATACTCATAAGTACTTAGAGTCCCAGATATTGATACATAGTTATATATATATATATATAAGCATACTTTTTTATGTGTATATATACGCATATGCGAAGTCCCTTGATCTGTCAAGTCACGCCCAAACTTCGGCCTTCCAAGCTTTTCGGGCTTTGCTTGGAGCTGGAGATCTGGGGGTGGATCCGAGCTTCAAGACGCTTCAAGCAATGCCCGTTGTAAGGGTTGCTTCATGAAGGAGCCTTGGGACCGGGACCGCATGGGATTACAGGTTAAGGGCGATGAGGCTTGAAGGTTTCGACGGCAGCCCAGGTCATCAAGAATGCAGACATGGCGGAGGACATGCAACAGGAGCACCCCTCGGATCTTGATTTTATGTTCTGGTCGGTTTCTACTGTTATCTTAAACAGGTGTGGTTCTTGGCACTCAGCTTGAGAGAGATCTATTTTGTCCATCGCCAATCCACGAGCACTGGCGCATTATGCTTGAGTATGATGAGATGCTCCTAAAATTTCAACATCCATAAACCTTGAATCCTAACGAAAACCCTAAGCACAATCCAGGTGCGACGACGACAGCTCTCTCACAGCACGTTCGCCGCAGACATTCGAAAGTAGCTTGACCCTGGAATTGTGAAACCTCCCTCAAGCATCAACGACCTCGACTTCCACAAGCAGTAATCCACGGTACGTCTGACGAATTCACTGCAAGAAGACACAGTTCCAAGTAGTTTGCAGCAAATTGCATCACTGGTGACGAGCCTCCCTTCTCCGAATACAAGTTACAAGCTCTTATGCGGGCCCTCATACGCACACGAACTCATGACTTCAGGCGTCTGAAACCCCGCTGCAGAGGCTCTACCATGCTCGGACAGCAGGGTCGCGAAACCTCCCCACAGCTTTCACGGACGTCGAGCTTGTTCGCATGCAGTCATCCACGGCACACCGCCAGAATACATCAAAGGAAACTCCAAATTCCAGGCAATTGCAGCAACTCGTCATCAGTCATGGCAAGCTTCCCATTTCCAAATCCAAGTTCATGCATGCAGGCCTCCACGTGCCCAGATCTGACTGTGAGTGCGGAAACCAGAAATCCTCACAACTCGGACAAGCCAAGCGAGGTGCGAGGGCGTAAGTCTTGTGTACTTACTCGCAAAATTGTCGAAGGACGCCATCGACTGCGCAACGCAGGCCCTTGAAAAGTACAACATTGAGAAGGACAGGGCATGTAGACCAATCCTTAGAGGCAAAGGTGTATTCATGATTCCCCACATGTTGATTATGTTTGATTCTAGGAGCAATCTGTGTTTGGCTTTCAATTGTCAATTTATTCAAGTAGTCCATGCCGAAGATGCGCTGCAGCGAACAATGCAGCATCCGTGTTAGTGCAGCTGTGTCCCCATGCAGGACATTGCGGCATTCATCAAGAAGGAGTGGCCAAGCTTAGACCATTCAGCTGAAGCTTCCCAGAGCGCGATGAGAGGCATCAGCCCACAAAACAGGGTGCAGCGCTTTCGGATTTCGGATAGTTCATGTTGACCAGCCTGGTCCTCTCCTCTTCCTGCCCCTCCGCTTGGCTGAACTTTAGTTGACGGCTCCTGCGAACGGAATCTCACCGATCCTTGCTGCAAAGTCGCCCGAAGGGCTCATCCCTGAGTCTGGAGGCCTGAGCCTTTACAACTTTACGGCTTAGGGCTTTGTGCGCCCAGAGACATCAGAGAGATGAAGGAAGCTCTGAGGCTAAAGCTTCGGGCTTCGATGCGTTTCGTGAAATCGGGTTGAATGGCCGAACCCTCCTGAAGCCCTAAACGCTCAGAAATCCACACTGTGAGCCCGAAGTCTTGGTGTCCGAGCCCAGAACACGCTTTTCAGCCTTATCAAAGGTTCGACAAGAAGTACAACCCAACGTGGCATTGCGTTGTTGGTCGGAATTTTGGCGCCTTGGGCCGCAGTCCCCTTTCTTTCCGTGCGTCTGGATTCAGGATCTATCGTGTGCATGGTTTGAGCGGTATACGGCGCAAGGCTTAGTAAAAGGCCTTTGGGACTGAGACGGTTTCGGGATACTCGTCTGGGCTCTGGATCAGTACCGAGCTCTTGCTGAGGAACTTGTCTTAACCCTGGAGCCAGCATATTAGGGACACGCGCGAGTTAGTTTGCTCCTTATGGTATCTTGAATCAAGTTCCTTGACCCGGCCCAAGCTAATTAAGCTGCCAAGGCTCTTATGTGACCCACGAGACGAAGCGAGGAGCTCAGCCTGGCTTCTGTTCGAGAGGGGCTTAGGGTCTAGTTGTGGTCGGAAACGGCTGAGGTTTGGGTGTATCTGGGGCTCAGAAGAGGGTCCCAGGTCGGACAAAGAGCAGGGTTCGCAGTGGATTTGGGGATTCAAGGCTCACCTGTGGCAACAGTAGAACTCATAGCCCGCATGCAACAAGGCTTACCAAAGGTTGAGGGTCCTCGGTGCAGGATGCAGGAACCCAGATTACCGAGGCACTTCATCTACTTCTACCTTGGGCAAGTGGCGATCCTGGTGTTCAAGTCCGGCTAGGCTCAGGCCCAGTATATGTCTCGGGTTATGTTTGAATGCGCTTTTGATCAGAGTCTTTGTTCTTATCGTATAGCTGATGCAGCGTAGAAGAAATACAACTTGCGGGAATGCTATCTCCATGCACAGCACATTATCTTGCATTCTGTCGCAGTCGATAATAGCTACTTCTTTTCAAATTGTCGGATTTTCTGGTCCTCATAATCATCGTTATGGGGGAAGCATAACATTGTCATAACATGTATTCAGGCCACAGAACCTGCTGCGAACAGGGCTAGTTGCGGGTTTCGGCCATGAGCCTGCCTGCTTGCAATGGGTCTCTGGCTCAAGGCTCGCCAAAACCCCAAACCTGAAACCCCAAACCCGTTCCCAAGCATCACACATCACACAGGACATCACGGCCCATGGTCAGCAAGACTTTGCAGAGCCGAATGGTGAGACGTGTTTGCACAGAATTCGGTGTGCTCTTGCTGTGGCCTCTATGTTCGGAATGGAGATTGTGGGAGAGCCAAAGCCAACAATAAGCTGAGAGTTTTGACTGCATTGGAGTTTTAGCGCAAAAGGGTTCCCGTTGTGCTTCAGAAGGCTTGGCTTGCAGATGCCCGCAGATCCACCTCCGGAATCAGATGTTTCACTTTCCGGCCACCCGCGAAGGCATACTTTGCTGTCCCTGCTTCCCTAAGCGGCACGATACCAACAGGGTGTTGCGCCGACTTCGAGGGTCGACGTTCTGCTGCTCCATCAGAAAGGCGGTGTGGCGATTGCACGGCTTAGGGCAAGCACACGTGCACGCAACACGCACGTCTAGAGAGATCGGCAAACAGACAGAGGGTAGGTAGGTAGATAGACAGGAAGATAGGTACGGAGACAGCGAGGCCGAGGTGGGTGAGGCGGGTGGGAGGTGGATGCATAGCTCCGCACACTCAGATGTGTGTGTGTGTGCACTTGCCTTGTGTATGTTTATCAGAACATCAACAAACGCAAAAAATACTTGATGTGCATGCATGTATATATGCATGCATGTATGTATGTGTCTATATATTTACATATACATATGTAATTGAAGCTCAGGTCCTTATTCCGAGCCCTGACGCACCCGCCACAGGCAGAGTGATCTGCACCCAGTTGGGCGAAATAGCTATTGTGCATAGATGCAGCTGGCCTATCCTGTTGGGTGATCGCACGTTTTCAGCATTTTGGGGCTTTTGGTGTTAGGGTATCAGGCTTTCAGGTTTTTGGGACTTAGGGTTGAGTGTTTCGCGGTTGCTGTGGGGTGGGCAGCTTCTGTCCAGGCACCTCCTGGCGACCCTGCGCGAGGTCTGCGCACGGTGTGGGCCCTGGCACATCAGGGCTGCTCGCACCGGTGCCAGGACAACATCTTTTTCGATTTTTGGCTGTGATTTATGAGGACGTCTGTTGTGGTTTTGTGACTGTGATCTATGGTCTTCGTCTGTACGGTTCTGGTCGTCCTGCTCAGGAAGATCACTGAAACGTGGTGGGAATGCTGGGGATGATGGCGACGAAAAGATGGTGTTGTTATGTTTCGGTAGACGTGCTGTTGTGTGAGGCGAGGTGCTAGAAGCCGCAAGAAATATCGTGGGCCATGTTTCGATGCAGACGTTCCGAAGGGGACGCCTGTTCCATCTCCACCTATCCCCACCTTTTGCCTGTCTCCACCAAACCTTAAAGTTAGGGTCATGGTTTGGCGTGTTTGGTGTGGTTAGGGCTTTCGGGTTTGTGGCTTTGAGCGTCCTGACGGAGGCCATTGCAACTGCCATGGATTGGAGCGATTCCAGCGGAGGATGTCTCCTTTGGCCTGCTTGCCTGCTTGGAGACTTCAGAGATTTTGTGTAGGTGTGAAGGGGCGAGCTATAGTTATAGTTATCGTTACGTATGTCGCCTATATCTTCACTTAATTGCTACGTCACTGATCCCTTCCAGACAGACTGAGGGCTAAATACGGCCTATGGCTCTGGGTGACACTCCAAATACCAGACTGTACAATATGGGGCAGGGAGAGGAGAGCTTGAACTTCTTGAGAGTTTGATGCTGATCGTGGTTTCGAGTTGGGTTGCATTGCAGAGCTGTTGAGTTTGCGTTATCAAGGCTGGAGGATCTCAGGGATTATGACTCGCAGGCCTTCAATGTTCGGTGGCGTGGGATGGCAGTTCGGGGGGTGGGCCTCTCAAGCCTTGCCGAGTGTAACCTAAAGAGTTTTTTTGTGTGCAGGAGTGCCCTCTGCACATGCCGGACGCCTACGTTTCGGTTCGGGCTGTTGTGATAGGCACCCAAGCACTGGCACCAGAAGCACCCACCACCAACACCACCGCCACTGCCACAACCACCAGCAAGACCGCCACCACCACTGCCGTCGCCACCAGAGCCATCACATCCACTATCGGCATCACCATCTCCATGACCATCACCAGCTTGGCCATTCTCCTCCGTCTCTTCTTGTGGCGAAGGATTTATGGAATTTCAGGTCCTACGGGGATTGTGTTTAGAAGCTCCGAGCTTTAGAAGCTCCGGGCCTTAGGAACGCCCAGCCCGAACCCCAATCGTGAAATCCGCTCGCAGTTCAGGTTTGGTTTGAGTTTCGGGGTCAAAGATGACAGAAATTCGGGAGACAACGCCGCTGAAGCTGTTCGTGATTCAAGCGTCTGTCCAGTTAGCCGAGCAGCTCACATTGCCCAAGCTCTTTGAGATTCAGCTTTGCCATGGCTGCCAAAACCAGAGCATCCGGCCTCGGCAGTTGTCTTAGGGGTTTGGAGTCGGCGTTTGGAGTTTAGGCCTACACCTTCAAGCCGACACCTTGGTTCCCGCCATGAAGATCTTGCAAGTGGGGCCGCAGCTTCTGACCAATCGGGAGGCCTCGTTCGTGTTGAGTTGAGTCCGACAGATGTGGAGTATACTTGCATCTTCTTTAAGTGTACATAGGGCCCCTTAGGAGGGTTAAAGTGTGGGTTTCGTGATCAGAAAGCCCGTGCTCACTATCCACATGCCAGCCCTGGTCCAGCTTTGGGCTTCGGCGCTTGATGTTTGGGGGTGAGATCCTTCCAATCCTAAGCAATACATGCCCTGAATAGCCATATTCAATGGCTACGGCTCAAGCTTTCGAGTCCATTCTTTCTATGCCACAAGCAGTGGGTGCCATGCGGTCGTCGGGAAACTTTCGCCGAGCTGTTGCTGTTGCGGCAGCCACTGCTGTAGCGACGAGTTGCACGACAGCCCTGGCGGAATCCAGATCTGCTGCAGCTGCGCCAGTTCCGCTTCTGGGAGGGCCTGTGTCGTGGCACTTCGGCCAATGGAAGCCGATAACTGATGCCGTCCGCGGTGGGGTTTCTACGGCGAGGCTGATACCGAGCAAGGCCGGCGCGAAGTTCGAAGGAACTCTGGACCCTAGCAAGCTGAAAGCAGGATTCGCTGGTGTTAACCTCGACGTCTCAGAGCTGCCAAAGCCGCTGGCAGACTTCACAGGCCTGAGGCTCGACGTCGCCGGCTCCGATGGGCGAGAGTACACCCTGCTCTTGAAGATCCGGGGAGCGGAGGCGGGGAGCTCTTACCAAGTCCGCTTCACCGCGAAGCCAGAGCAAAGCCTCGAGGCGCCGTTTAGCCATTTTGTCGGCTTCCGTCGCGGGCGGCCGGATCCGACTGCGCCACCTCTGCATACAGCTGATGTGGGAACGATCGCGCTGCAGATTGCTAGCAACTTCCAGGAGCAATCCGGAGACTACCAGCTTGAGTTGAAGGGCCTTGCCGGCATAAGTGATGCAGTGGCTCCTAAGAGCTAGGCCAGGCTCATCCCAGTTTTCCTATTCTGGGCACATTGCTGCTTTTAAGCATTGCCGGCTCTGTTTCAGGTCGAATAAGGGTTCAACAAAGGGTTTTACCAGTACCATGTCTTAACTGCCACCATAAGCCTTTTCTGTTGCTCCTACCTTGGAGACTGCAACATCAGACTTGCCCCGCGTTCAGCAGCAAAAGGGCTCTCGTGCCTGCTGGTGGCAAGATGTACCGTTTTTAGCCATGCCCATTCCTGTTTTCATCTTCTGGGCACTTCACTGGACAAAGAAGGATTCTGTCGTCTTCGTGTCTCAATGAGCACCATAAGCTAATACCGTTTCAGGTGCTCCCTTATTGTCTTAGTCTGCGACCGCAGTGGGTTGTCGACCCACCTGCAGTGCGACTTCGAACGAACAGTGCATGTGAGAGCCGTCGGTACTCCCATGCAAAGCAGGGTGGATCGAAACACTACGTCAAGTGGAGACTTTTAAACTTTTTGTGTAAGCTTAGTTCTAATACAGGACCTTGGGATGATCAGAAATCTCATTTCACTGTGGGTCTGAGTCTAAGGGCTGAAGACGCCAGCTTCTTAATCCCTAATCAATGAGTTTCCCATGACTGTGTTTGTGTATATATATATATATACATATGTATATCATATGTATGTATGTGTGTATGTATCCCCACACACCTACACATATATTTCATATACAGGCACATGTCTGTATGTACATATATTTATATGTAGAAACAGATACGGATATACAGAGTAGTCATAGAGACAGGTACAGATATGCTTCCAACTAATGATATGCGTAAGGCAGGTTCCAAAATTTAGGGGGGGTTTGGGTGGCCTGGATGCAAAGGGGTTTTGGGTGGGGGTTTTGGGTGCGCAACCTTCACCCTAAACCGCAAGTTGCGAGAGCGTAAACCGCAATTGTTCGAGCTTGAGTGCCGAAACCGCAAAAGCACTCCTGAACACAAAGCCCTGAACCCTAAGCCCAAACCGGCCTTTGGGCGTGCAGAACCGAAGCAGACCTGGTCAGGTGTATAGCATCGTGACAGAGGAGCTTCCCCACCTGCGTGCCAGGACTTGACTCATGCAGTAAAAGTGGTAGTAAATATCTAGCAATGGTAAGAAGAAGATTAGCAATAGTAGAAGTAATCGTATTCGGAAGCATCATCGTAATCGGAATCGTCGTCGTCATCGTAGTGGCAGTAGTAATTAATTTTAACCCTTCGACAGATATCGTAACAGTAATAGCAACAATAATATTAGTATGAGTAATCATACTAATGGTAGTAATACTGGTAATAGTAATAGTAACATTAGCAGTCGTAGTAATAGTAGTAAAAGCAAAGGGACAGGAGTAGTAATCGTAATAGTACTAAGAATAGTAATAGTAACAGCAAGAGTAAGAGTAAGTGTAATGGTACTGGTAGAATGGTAAAATGGTCGAATGGTTTAATGGTACAATGGTCTAACGGTATAACGGTTTAATGGTATAGCCTTTTTTTTATAGTAACGGTCATCGTTATTTGTAATCGTAATTCAAAGTCATAGTAACAGTCATAGTCATAGTACGTAGGGAAGGAAGCACGGTGTATACTTCCGCGCTTGTGGCATGTCCGTACTTTTCTCGGTGCTTTTCAGTTGTCGAGCTAAAACAAAACCGGAAAAACCGATACCAGAAGGACGACTCGCGGGCGGACCTGCACCAACATGTAGCTCTGACGGTAAAACAAAAGCCTTCGCGACGGATTTATCTAAAATAAGCTCCCAATGAGTTTCGCCACTCTCAGAACAAGGACCCTCAACTGTGAACCCCCAAGAGGCCCCGGCACAGTAAATTCGCGAGCATTCGACAGCTCTTGGCCCTCCGTGCCACACATTTTGGTGCTTTTTTTATGACTGTTCCACAGAGTTGTTATCATTGGTTTTTGTTGTTTCGCTGATGACTCTAGAGTTTCACTGCAGGCCTCATTTCAGAGACATGCCCCATTTTACGTCGACGCCCGGTTCTCGCCCAACGCCGGCCAGGACAAGGTTCCTAGACAAGGAGGAGGGCAAGGCCGCACAGTCTTACCATCTCTGTGAGAATCTTAGTCGTAGGGCTTAGAGCCTTCAGGGTTTCAGGTTTTTCGTTTTGGGGGGGTTTTCCTTGTTCTTTCCAGCCTAGAAGAAGCCACCATGTTGGTGCATCGGTACATCCGACGCAGACCAAATTCGGGTTGTTTCGGGTAAATTCTAAACGAATTTATGCTCACGCTGTGAGAGCTAGACTTCGAGCTCAGGAACAATCTCGGTCAGATGATGCCCAATTTTTGGGGCAGATGCTTCCGGTAGGCATGGCTCTGCGGCCACATCAGAAGACATGGAAGACTGAAGTGGTGGACTCCCGACAAACCAGCCTTGGGCACAAAGGCAGCCTCAAGTTGGCCCGAGGCGCCAAACCCTGAACATCGTAAGCCACTGCAGGCGCGGGACGACCGCGAGGGTTTGCGGCGTCATCTGGAGGCGGCAGGGGCCTGAGTTGCCCCAGTCAGTGATCCACCAAGAAGTGCCACGTGAATTGGTTCGGGCTCTTGAGGCGTCAAGTGTCAGAAGGGTTGATCTTAGGGCCTCGGAGTTCCGTTTACTTTTGCCCTCGCGCCGCCGTGTTTCTTGGCTTTCTTTGGGCTGCACTCTTGTTGCGGGGAGGTGCGAGGCAAAAGCTTGCGGTCTGCCCCTGCAGATCGTTGTTCATGGAGTGTCCCTCCCAGTGCACGAGCAAAAATCAGCTGAGAACGAGCGGATGGCCAGCTACCTGGAGCGCTGCAGCCCGCTGGTGTCGAAGCACGACAACGCCGCAGTCGGTCGATTTCTGGAAGGGCTGGCAGATGCCTGGCCGTGAACGTCTGTGAGTGTTGGGGCTTACTGGGCTGTGTCGCAGCGAAAGGTTTCAGGTTCAGGTTTGGGTATCGGACATGTAGGCTGGAAGTGTCATGGGCAGATAATTTTCCAGAGGCCGGCTGTGGGGCAAGAGCCCTTTCTGTTGTTACATCGAGGGCTACGGTTTCAGGGTTGGGGCTCTGGGTCCTTCGGGGTTGGGGTTTGCTTGGGTGTCTTCTTCGAGGAGGACGCAAGCTTCTACGCCGTTAAAGGCGTAGTTGCTTGAAAGCTTGCCGAAAGGGGTTTAGGTTTCAATTTCCTACGTAAGATCGAACTTTGCACTGCTGGACCGTCTTGCTCCAAAGCCTGTGTCCCAAACCGGGGCCTAACACCTACAACAGCCTGTCAGAATCCCTTCCGAAAGCTCCTAAGCGCAAAGGAGTTGGGGAAGAAGGACTTCACGGACGACGAAGTGCTCCAGTCGCTAGCACGAGAAAGCGCCTAAACAACTTTGTCCGACGCCTATTTCCCTGCACCTCATGCCCAAAGGCCCTAACCCCTTCGAACTTCGATCCTTAACGCCAGCAACCC